TATATATATATATATATATATATATATATAACATATAATTTTACTCGCAATAAATTATGGGATATAGTATCCATCGAAGTACATACCAGATTCAAGGCTTCAAAGGTTGGTGGGTAGACGATTGGCATGTCGTTTGTGGTGTTAATAGACGGCGTAGATACATTTGTACCGGCGCTAAAAAGATTGGAAAGAATACTGATTATAATTATGATTGATATTTGTAGATGCGGTATGAGGATGCTCTCCAAATGACCCTATAATATTCATAGTGTTGAGGTACTTAAAATATCTTTTAATAGAATTGTTTAAAATTTATTACGGGAAGGGTAGGTGGTCCATGTGGGTAAAGTCGTTTGAACCACGCATCAGTGGCGGTAGTAATGCTAGCATTGAGTCTCAATTTATAATAAATAACACATCCTTATCAAAGCTGATCATTCACAAGCCACTGTCAACTTTTTTCCGTTGACATATAAATTGCAAGGGTAGTAAAAATAAAGGAGAATATGCGATTCAATAAAACAATCAGGAAGTCCTGTGATTATTTTGCAGTGTACTGCTTACCTTGATCCTATATAAACAAGATTTCCTTCTAATACTCGTTTGCGGATAGGTTCAACTAACTGATTCTCATACAAGGTTTTTAGAAGAAGGAAAGTATTTCCTCCGCCGATAAAGATGCACTGGGCCTTATTTACAGCTTCGACCGGTGAAGGGAACGTATGAATACCTTCAGCGATAGATTAGGCATCATAAAAAATAAATTAGACAAAGACATCATTAATTAAAAAATATATATACGAAAAATGTCTGTAACAAAAACTTGCGATTCAAGAATGATGTAACAATTACCCAATGTGTAATCCGTTGAATAAAGCCAAAACAATCCGTTTTTTAATATAAAACTATAATACTTTATTAAAAATTAAGATTTTCATCACTGCTATAATATCGTAGCCTCTTATTGTAAACTTTCCATATCAAATTCCATTGTGGAACAAATCCATATCAAAATCCATATCAAAATTCGATTGTGGAACTATTCGCAGGTGAACGTCAATTACGCATTATAGAAATGTAATAAAACAGAACTTTAGAGAAAGGTTACACAGAAGCGTTGATTATGGTTCAAATAGTTTTTTTTTAGATTTATTTTATTTACGTTTGCTGCAACATATGCATGCAGTAAATGTGAGCAAATCTTGACATCTTGACTGACTATTGAGTTCAAAATGACCAATGTAACCTTGGTATAGCATCATGAATCATAGCCAGGGAAGCATGTTTACAATCAGCGCGTCGATTGAGCTACCGATCTTTTCGCTCGCTATGATCATCTAGTTCAATAGCGAACCGTCCAGCTTAGAGTCTTCTACCTACATACAATAATAATTCGAAGTGTAAAGACTAGCAACTTTCACGCTGTTACACCCAAAAAAATGTGAGAAACGGCTTCTTCATTCAATCCCTCAGCGTGGCCTTTTTCGGTGGACGTTCCTTCGCCCCGAGATGCCGAACACTTATACCAAAAATGCGATTATACTCACCTAGTTTCAAATAGAAGTACAAAGAAAAACCGGAGACAGAAACTTGAAATACATCGCTATTATGTAAAATAACGAAAAGTTGGCAATTTACAAAGTTAAAAAGAAAAGTTATTTATCTATGTGCATGTACCTTTAACCGAGAATCCCATCGGCTCAACCGCTTCCCGAACCGTTGTTGTATAATCCTCATAGTCACATCGGGCATATGGAACAAAAAGTATCTCTGATACTTCATGCTTCCCTAAGAATGCCTTTATCATATCCTGCATTAGGTAGTTGAAATCGTTAGTTTTAGATCAAAGACATGAATGTAAGGTCCGAAAAATAAAAGTAAATAACTATGAAGTGGTCAGTGATGAATCATTAAAAGATCTCTTTAAAGTTAATGTATCTTTATGTAAAGTTGTTTGTTCAGAACTATTGTTTGATTATAAAATCATAATACCAGCCTTAGCATAACTGAGGTATGATGTCCCATATGTTGTCGAGTTCGAGAGAAGAAGAAGTTTACGGTTCATCTGGAAAAATTTAATTGGTTATGAGCTGAATAGAAATTTGAATAAAAAGTTTCAAAAACATTTTTAAGACGACCGTGGCGGACGTTAGGGCGCGGTAAAAACTGTCAAATAATCCCAGTGCAACTCCGGAATGAACAATAAACGCAGGCTTTTGTGGTTGTGTTTATCCGTACGTTAGCAGCCAGCCCAGAGTGTTTAATCTATAAAATTTCCACATAAGTTTTCCACAAAGACACATAACTCAGTGTTAATTCAACAAATCATTTCACAGCAGATATTGTGTTTCAGGTTGCAGACTGTTGTCGGAGTTGTTTTTAGGGCCTTGTGTTTTACATAGGTCCGTAGGAAAAAGATCAAGAAGGAGTCAAACGTCAAAACCTGGCCGGCCACTCAAATGCACTGCCGCGCGTCGGGATCAGTTGGCACATGAATCAAGCAAAATGATTGTTTACTTTGTGTTCCGCTTTGTGGAGACGTACCCCCACTTCGTTGAAACCAAAAATTATTTTCATCCAGTATCTTCACTTTAAACCACAAAAAGTATGCAGCGTATCACAGTAGAGTTCATAATTGATTATTGCTGCCGTCTCATAAACGTTTTCCAAGTACAAAATGTTTCGTACAATCGTCTGCTCAGAAATTCGTACCACACAGTAATTTCTGAAATTGTAAATTGGTTGTTCACTCGTAAATGTCTTGCGAATATTTTATTTATTTATAGCCGCATCTAGCTAAAAATAAGCTTTATTAAAAAATATGATGTAATCAAAGAAACCGCTGGCACATGCATTACCCTTCAACACGTGATCAGCGAATAAATATTATGACGATGGACTTTTGATGGTTTGTTTGGAACCGTTCAGACGCTTAATGGCCAAATAGGTTGTACTATGTAGGGTCAAAGGTGTAATTCTAGATTAAAATTAACCGCAGAGTCCTTGTTGGAAATAGCCTGTACGCCTTTTGAATTAATTTCGGTTCTAACTCAATCGAAGACCATAATTTAGATTATATACCAATTATGAAATTATCACACTGAGGTATACTCTTATTAATTGAAATCTGTTCTTCAGCAAAAAAAGCGAAAATATGATCAATAGCGATAACTGGTAATCAATTAGGTAACGCATATCTAAACTATGTTAACAACGAACGTATGACCCGACAAATCTGCGAGCACAATACAAACGTGATAGCCTTTCGAAATTCCCACTGTTATTTATCAACTTCGGCATTCCGTTAAATAAAGTGACAGGTTATTATTATTATTACCATTATCAAAGGATGAGTTAAATACCAAAGGACCTAAGCTGCCAGAAACGAAAGGGACGTTAATTACAACAATGAAAAAAAAAATCCGCAGCCCTAAAGGTAGTCAGTTAAAATAATATATTTCTCACTGGTACCTTTTCGATAGGCCACAAATGTATAACCTTATAAGCAAAACTTATAAAAAGCACGCGCACTACGCTTAAAAATGATATTTATGGAGGACGAACTGCGAGTTTTGTTGACACGTGTATCGCTTTTCGAAGGCGTTCGCTTGGACGCCCGAAATTAAGTCTATCTGGGACAGATAATAATCGAAGCGAAATGCCGGGATGTCAGCTAAACGGATGATGATAATGATCTATCCACAACAACGGTCGAAGTAGCCAGGAGGAATCACGCGGTCTTTTTGTCGCGGGCGGCTGGACCTATGTGGAAAGGGTTACCCTCTCCCAATAAGCAGCGCACACGAATACAGCTAGAGCCCAACTATTCTCAATCACAAAGCAGCGCCCAATGGCACAGCTGCAATTATCATTGAGAGTATTACGATTTAAAATCACGCCAGTGACTTATGTTTCAAGGTCTTTCACAATAAGCTGAAATGTGCAAGGATGGTCTAAGCCTCGTCACCACGACGCAAACTATGTTTCAGGTGTGACGAAATAAAACAAGGACTTTTTCTTTTCTCTCTTCTTCGAGGACTATTTGAATTCATTCGGGGTTGCATCATTATTGCCCTCTTGCTCTTTAGACGGCGATTGTTATTGAAACAAATCTAAACTGAGCCGTTACTGTGTCCGTGCGACGCACGAAAGGTTACTAGACTGGCAAGTATGAAGGTCTTCCGCTCATCATGTATCTGTTATAATAGGATTGGATTACTTTTGGTAGCAACACTTATAGTGCATTGTAGAAAACTGAGTGTCTGGATGTCAACAGTCACCCGAGCATTATGAAGAACGAAGACGTGCGGTACGAACGGGTGTCACACGTATATATATTCATAGCTATTTGTTGCACTTCGATAATATTCTATGACGGTATTCATTCGTACGTGCGGGCAGCCCAAATTTAGCCATAGATTTGTTAGAACAATAGTTTACGATGGGACACCTTATTGATTAAAGCTGTGATTAAGCTTTCTATGTATGGACGTGGATCAACATCGGCATAGGGTCAAAAACGTCATTGTCGTTAAAGTACGCCGTACCTGGCAGATGGCCCCCAACAGCGCTGCTCGTAACAAAATAGTTTTACATGGAAGCCGATTAATTGACAATTTTTTTTACATGAACGAACATCTACGCGCGGCATCTTGCTCAGTTCCTTAGAGGAATGGCGCGTTAAGCTGCTTAGAAGAAACCCTTCTAAAGGTCAGTTGTAGTAGTTAACGCTGGAACTGAGGCATTGTACAGACTGATTCGATTTTCTTTATCCTTTTAAAGACAAATTAGAAAAAAAGAATATCCACCACCGCGTGCGGCGTAAGGCACACGTCTTGATAATATATCACATTGACATTTATTTTTCACGTTCATTTCTATTTAGATTTGTAGAACAAGACTATGAATAGAATAGACGCTGTATAGATCAGCTTGGTATCGAATCCCTTAAAACATATGTCATAGTTAATTGCTATATATTAAACGCCTATACTGTGCAACATACTAGCACTAAAGGTGATTGCAATATATTCTATGGCGTTAATTCTCCGTTTCACTAAAACCAATATAACTGACCTTGATATGTTTGGTGCGCAATCGTCTAGTTTACACAGGTGATTTTCGACGAGAACTAATGGGGAAATAAGCCACAATTGAAACGTTTAGTACTGTGTGGTAGTTTAACAAACAGAACGTAGCTGCTGGCGGACGAATGGGTCTTTTCATTTTTTCTTTATGTAATAGGTAGGAAGCTAGCTTCTGCGAATTTTCATCGTTGCTGACAATGTTTCACGTGCAGCCTAATGGAGTAATCGTTCAAAGACGCAGCGATATTATCAAAAATGCAGTGTCACAGATAGATCAATGTTTGCGCAGTATTTAGAAACTGCTGGACGTCATTAGAGGATTAGTTGAGAATTTGGGGAAAGTTGGTAGATGGTGTGCTTCAGCCCATTTTTCAGTGAGTTATCATAGGCAATAATAATAATAGATGATACATTATTAGAAGGCTTAACAATATGATTAGCTGAAAAGCAGCTAGGGTAGGATTCAAATGGGTTCATTAAAAATGTTTTCTTCTTGGTCATGCATATGCCACGCTAGCATCTTCTTCGTGTGTCACATGATGAACGTGTAGCGCGAGCAACTTAATTGCGTACGTGTTCAAAGCATACCCCGTAGATCGCAACCTTATCACGCGCAGGGTTAAGGTTAGAGAGGATCGAGACAAAGTTATTTATGGACAATTATACACATAAATGAGTCTTTATTGTATGTACAGCATAGCTCAGCCTGTCCCGATCATTCAGCCAAGCACGCGGAGCACGGTAGTCATAATGAAGTCGTTGCTTGAAAGCTCATTAATTCTGCGCACTAACAATAATAGCAAAGTATTACCAAACATGCTTTATCTTACCATGCGCGATGTCACACAACGGCAGTTCTAAATCAACTAATTATACGAATTATTATTATTATTTGAACGGTTCGTCAAGTGCCAAACTAATTTTATTAAAAAAAACGGTTGTACTATGGGGGTCGCTCAAAAAGCCAATTGGTACGTGGCTATCTGATCACTTAACGCACCGCATTATGGATTAGTTACATTTTTGCTTTCAAAAATACAATGTAACTCTCAGTATTGGTAGGCTATCGTATGGACCATCGTTAAGGACTTAGCGGAGATAGGCAGATTTCATTGCTTCACCGATTACTTCCATGGGTCATATCATCTCCAAGTGTAATAGGATCTAGGTTACAGGTTATACAGTCTTCAAGGGCGCGCCCGCCTAGCAAGTAATATAGAGCCACCTGAGCCGGTTATTCCAACCCCTAGGAATATTTACTGTCATTGGGGTCATCAAATCGTGATGGTCCATGTGCACTTAATGGGCTGTGTCGTCTTGGCAGCAAGCAGTCCTATAGCAAGCCACTTACTCACTGGACCAAATCCTGTATAGTAGTGAGGCATCGTAGTGAAAGCGGCTTAGAGATCAGAGCTCACAGCTACGCGTACTGCGTCCTGACTTCGCAGCAAGAAACCGATCTCAGTCGCCGGTACCTGTATCGACGGTAATTCTCGCATGCTGCTATCAGAAATTGCTGACAAAAGCACCAGCGTGAAGGAACAGCGTGGACACGTGTCCGCCATAGCAAGAGTTTGTACGGAACCAAATAATGACGCATCATGTTGTTCCAAGTAAACAAAATGCTTTCAGGATGCCTTGAAGTTATATTCACTCGTTTTCGCAATGGAACGGTTCTTCGGGAAGATGTTTTCGCAACAAATCTTGAGCCTATTCGGTGTGCTCTTAACGCTGAAGCTCAGTGGGCTTTGACGATCCACGTCTTGTTGTCGCTCGTGGACTTGTTATCCTGTACGCTCTGCGTAGTTGTCCCCGCGAAATCCGTTAATATGTTTACGATCAGTATTGTTTTGGTCCGCCATCTGTTCTATGACGTCAAATCGAAATTCATTTAGCTGGTAATCGATGCGGGATAGAACGAACGAATATCGGGGTAATACATTTACGATGTACCAGTCTTGTAATGACGATAATCAAATGTAATGACGATTGTACGAGAGATGGAAAATGGGAAGAGCGTGAGCGGTTCTATCATCGGCAAGCAATAAATCTGCAGAAGAAATGAAGTCAAAGAATAGGTTAGTGGCTGAAACAGTAGCTGTTTAAGGTATAAGCCTATTTTTCTTTAATTGTAGACCTCTATCTGATTTTGTTGTAAACCGCTTTCCCTGCCCATACTGATAATCAATCATATCATTGTCTCAAGTGTAGTAATAAAGCGAGTAACGTTTTCGATACTCTCCATTGACATACTACCGCGTATGCCCAAAGGCGGACTGCACAAGTGTGCTTCCTGAAAGGCACACGCTTATATGCCAGTCATCAGAGACTTTCCGATTTTTCTCTTAATGCAATTAAGAATTATGTGTTATAGAATCAAATGCGACTTGGACGGCAGAGCTGTTTGTATTTTAATAGTTAATCCTTACAGGTTACGTCTCGTTATTAATACGATTACGTTTTTAGTACGATTCACGTCTTTTCAAGCGATTCTAACAGACACCTGAAGTACGTATTGAAAGATTTGTTCTCACTGATCTCAGGGCTAAAAATCTAAACAGATACAGACGCTGTACTAGCCTAAATACAGTACGTTAAATGCACAGTACCTTTGACTTTAATCTAAGCTTCAGAGTTCGCTTGCTTTGGAAACGATTTTCGGACAGAACCTGTTCCCTAACTGTTAGCGCTACATAGGGCGGTTGAAGCGTTGAAAGTGACATATCAAGTGATATACTGGTTTGTTTTTAAGCGTCTGTTAAGGGATTTGACCTTTTACGTAGCTAATTTCACAAATTGTAATTTTTGCTGAATATGCTCTGTTATTCTTCGATAATAATTTAAACAATAACAAACTTTGTTCAAGCACTGGGTACAAGAAATTATTCATTCTATCAAATTGACGATTTTATCGAGATTTTCTAATACGATTTCCGGTAACGTGACTTCTACTACGGTTGCAAAGGTTACTTTCAGCTGCACTGCTATCTCTCTTGGGTGCTATCACTAGGAATTGTTCGGGGCACTGGGAATGGAAGCCGGTGGGATGGATATTGTCTACCATAATCTGATTCTTCAGTAGACGGAGTAAACTAAATCGAAAGTCTCCTAAAAACGCCTGTGCCTCCCTTGTTGGAAATTGCGCCCCTCTTCTCGCTCCTCTATTTCGTTAAGAATGCTCTTTAGGTCGCGGCTGCAGACACAGTTCCCGTTGTTGTTGTTGCTACTGCTGCGGCTGCTGATAGAAGCAGCGTACTCCGACATGCGTTCCTTGCCTGCCGGTGTGCTGCCGGTAATAGTGGCTATACGGTGGCGATAGAAGGAGCGATCATCGTATTTTTAAGCCAGCAGCTGCTCCAGGAGATGCAGAGACAGTGGCAGTAGCAGCAGGAGTTAGAAGAAAAGTAGTGGCTAGTGACTCCGGCTAGGAAAAGACGAACAAGGAAAAGGGGGCTAAACCTTGTGGGGTGTCGTCTTGGACGCGGTTGGACGGCACGCAGCAGTGCGGGGTGCAAGATGCTTAATAGGAGCGGGACGGAAGGGCGGGGCCGAACGAGAGAAGATAAGAAGCGAACATGTTCAAACGAACAACAAC